CACTCCCAGCAGCACATGGCAGCACATTGTCATGGCCCTGACATCAGTCACAACTCCAGATGTCGGAGTAAGGAGCCCAGAGATGCTGATGTGAGACCACTCCTTTCCAAATGCAGAATTAGTGAAAAGGGCCCTGTTTATAACCAACTAAGAATGGAAGGGTTTGTGATGTAGAAGACATAGACTTACTTTTCTCACATATTCTATGTGCACATAGGCTTAAGGTTACTTAAGTCTAAACTGCACTCAGGTACTTTTTCATACTAAGCTATACACTTGATTAGAACTTTCAAGATAACTGTTCCAGTGAAATTCAATTCCCTAAACTCTGCGTTCAAGGAAAACAGCTCTATTGATTTTACCTAACCATCCTTTTCCTCCATTTAACCAGTCCCACCTCATTCCACATGGTTAAGTTAGACACCTTTTAATGTATCATGTCTACACTCATCTCATGCCCAGACCTAAGATGTTCCAATTTCACGAGGTCAAATGAAAAAACACAGGATTATTTTTAAATGAGCAGCTTGCTACAATCCATAAAGAAACCTGTTACAATATTTCTTTGTAGTCTATACTCAAAGTGTAAACAAACATCAACAATAAACATTTTTCTCAAATAATGTGACATGGCTCACTAGTAAGAAGTACTAACAAGTCCTCACAGCAGAAGTGTCAAAACAAGACAACTGTTTCCTATGCAATGATTGTGCTGAAACTGCATTAATATCCAAACTAGGAAAAAAATAAATCAACAGGCATTCAAAATCTATCTGGCACAAAGACAAACTGATATTGTCATACATCTGTTATTTTAATTCAGCTGTTGCTTCCAGATACAAAATCTACAAAGATGACCAAGTAATTGGTCATTTTGTCTAAACAACTCCTTGCTTTTATTACTGTATTATTATTATTGTATTTACACTGCCACTGAAAAAAAAAAGTGTAAATTACTTGAATAAGGATCCAAGATATTTTTCAGTAAGTTGACAACTGAGATAAACCAAAATTTAATACCTGAAAGTAGTATTAAAGTCTTCTCCTCTACAGGAGTGCAAACGAAAAAAAATTCCATAGGTCAGTAGTGTAATACAACCTTTCACTGTCTTCTGAGATAAGACTTTGCCATTATGAACTTTTAAAAGGGAATGAATACTAAAATCTCACCAAATCTCAAGCATAGAAGCCTCTTTATGCTTCAGTGTCCCAGTCTTTCAACATGCTATTATTTATGGAATGAAAAAAGGCAGAAGAAATTGAAATCTTCTGAAAAATACATTATCCTTGATACATGCTAATGCCATGGCTGCCACTGGAGGTGAAAATGCGGTTAGAAGGCTTGTTTTACTTTAAACATACTCCTGCAAAAATTAATGCCTGAAAACTCTGACACTCAAAACAGCTTTCTTTGAAACTGAAAATAGTATGGGTTAATAATACATACTTAAGAACATAGTATAATTTTCAACATTATACTCAAGTTTCAAACAGTGCTTGTTTTGACTTCCTTTTCCTACTTTAAAAGTTGCATTTATGAAGGTACTACTGGATCATGTGTAAGATTCTCCATGCATAGCTCAGTGTCAGGTCTCCCCTTTAATTGTCAACCATCATACAGGATTGCACAATGCTTTTACTCCAGTAGAATATGGGCTGGAAACATTACTTCCTTCAAACACATATAAAGTGAGATTTAGCATCTGAACACCAAAAAAAAAAAAAGCCGTTTTTCTGAATCGGTGTCTTCAAATAAATCTTTTTGTCAGAAGAGCTCTCATATGTCTGTAATCACAAATACAAAATCCACCCATCATCCAGGAAGTTTTCTTTACAAAAAATTCTATTATATATTTTTTGTACCAATTCTGTCCATTTCTATTCAGAGAAATATCAGAAACTTTAGATTAGGACTTACCCATTTTTGCTAAATACCCGTATCCATGCCTGTATGTTTGGTCCCAGCAAACACAAGCATTGTAAAGTAGTGTATGTAGACAGAAGAACTGCAAACAAAAATGTCTCAGTCACTAACCTACAAAAAGAAAAAGAATATTACAAAATTAAGTGAGGTGGTTTTTCTAAAAGTTCCAAGATTTAGGAAGAACAAAGTCCCTCTCATTCAACTTGTGAAAGCATGTTCGCTTTCTTAAACTTCATATAAAGGAATAAAATATTTTTTTCTTACTCTGTAGAATAGTAAAGGAAGCTGGAAAGAGTTCTGCTGTTATCTCAAGAGTGAGATGTAGTAATTTTTTGAAATGGCTGAGACCTGTAATATTTTTAAAAAACCACAGGTGTACTTCACATAGATCATTAGTTCTAAACTGAAGTATTCTTGGATATTTACCAATTTAATGATTCCATTTTTCCAGTTGTGACAGCAACCATGAAACCAAACTACATTAAACTACTGTTAGTCAACAACTTAGTATATCTTTCAAAACCCAGGTTGCTTCACACTTCTTTCATTAAACTTTCAAAAAAGTTAAAACACTAACATCAAAAGGATGAAAGACAAGCCATGTGGTTTAGAATCATATAGGGAAAATGACTAAATAAAGCTACAAAAAATATTTGTGCCCATATGTTGAACATAAAAATTAAAGAAGCTGTTTGTAACTGTATTACAGTTTTTATTTATAGAAGTCTCATTTAAAAGCTGGCTTCCAAACAAAACAACTGAACAAGCAAAAAAAAAACAAAAAACAACCAAAAAAACCCCCAAAAAAAACCAACCACCAACCCAAAACCAAGAGAAAGCTGAAACAGCCACCTTTCTTCCCCCAGCTAGGAGCTTATCCCTTAACTTCTAGTGTACGAGAAAATACACAAGTATTTATACCAACATCTGCAGGGAGAGCTGCCCCTTAGAATATTTAGAGAAAGAGAGGGTCTTCTGACTTACTCTATGAGAGGTGCTCCATAAAGAACAATAATCGCATGAAATAGTATGCAAGACATGAAAAAGTATATACAGCATTTTAGAAATCTGGATATCTAAAAAAGAGCAATGAAATATCAGAATAATGCTTCAAAACAGAACATAAGTAACACACACCCTCTAAATCTTTATCAAGTGCATTGTATTCTGATTAGTACTTTAATTTCAGCTGAAGCACAATATAATAGCATGGCATATTTCAAAACAGTTTTCCATATATTAGTACTTGAAATAATTAATTTAAAATCATCACAATCCACCTACAATTTTTTTTTTCATGCATCCCATTAAAACAGGGCAAACATACAAAAAATATAACCAGAAATTACAAGATAAGCAGAAGTAATTTTATTGGACATTTTTACACTTCTGTTTTACATCTGTCATATCCATTCATTAAAAAGCAACTCTCACAAAAAGTGAAAAAAATTTAAAAGCAAGAAAACATACAATATATTAAAAGTCTGCTAAACAAAGATTCAAAATTGCATTAACTAAAACTACATTTTGAACTTGGCATCTTAAATTCTGAATATATTTGAGAAATATCCATAACTTTCTGTAAGTTATATATATACACTTTTCTATGAACTTGACAGTTTCTGGGTACTCACTGTATCACGTAGAGGCAAAAACACTTTATACACAGTTCTGGTGAGGTCTGTTTTGATCAGGTCTGTTCTGAATCTGTAACTTCCCTTATTTTTCTATATTTACTCCTACCTATTTTTTCTTCCTAGGATAAAATCTCACCTAGAACATGATGTGTGCTTCATTTTTAAATCATGGATGGTTAAAATACTTGCTTTCCATCATGGTTTTGTGCATTTCATATCCTCCTCAGTCAGCAAAACTATACACAAGCTTTGCACACAAAGAGATGCTGGCAGGGAAGATCACTTAAACATTTAAGAACCACCTCAGAGCACTACATCTTGCCTGGCTCAGCATGTCAGGAGTGAGACTATCCCCACCCGACTTCAAAACTCTGGGGTATTCCTCCACTGCTGGGCAAGTCGTGTGCTGCTCCAAAACCACTCTGTTCCAAAGTATTTCATTGGGATTCACAACTTTAACACTCCCCGTTGCAAACTAACTACAAAAAGCTTCTCCCAAATTAAGATCTGTATGCAAATTTCATCATACGAGGAAATGCAGGCATTTTAATACCTTTCCATGTAATTTTTTTTTCAGTTGTTGAAATGTAGCATAGTATCTCTTTTATGTGTCAGATTCTGAATTTATTTTTTTTCCTCTTAAAGTTATTACAAACTTACAACTCCACATGAGAAACGTGTGATGACATTTCTTCCTGGTATATCTACTTACCAAGAAGATGAGTCAGGCCTGGACTACAAAATTAGTTCTGTGCCATTTAATTTTGCCAGGTTTTGCCACCACGCAAATTCCTGGGACAATAAACAATATTGCATTGGCAAGAATCAGGAAAGCATAGACTCACTCATCTGAACAGGTTACTTACAGGTAGGGAAAGTTTAGCATCATGAAAATACTGAAAAATTTGTTTCAAGAGATGCTACACTCAACTCACTGATAGAAAATGAGAATTCACCATCAAAAATCGGTTGGTTTTTTTTCATTTGATTATTTTAAATGAGATAGAGAATTTGCTTCCCCTCTGGATTGACTGGCAACAACGTAAGAATTTTTTTTAAAAGTCTTACCTTGTGAGCAAAGGAACGTCTCTTAGGAGACTGGTTTGGTTTAAGGACTAAGTGCAAGATTATATTAAGGGCAGCAACACAGACAGAACAAACACACAGCCAGGTGAGGTGCGTTCCCAGGACGCTGAATCCGTCCAGGAGGAAAGCCGGGGCCAGGGCGGCCAGGACGACGGCCAGAGCGCGGAGCAGGTTGGCAGCCAGCAGCCGCCCGACCTCCGCCCCGCTCATGGCGCCGGGCAGCGCCGCAGCATCGCCCCGGCCCGGGACGGAGCTCCGGGCCCCGCCGGCGGGAGAAGGGGAGGGTGCTGGGGCAGGAAGCAGCGCCCGTTCGAAAAGCCAAACCCCGCCCGGCAGCGGAAGGCGGCGGGGCCCGGCCGGCGGCACCTCCGGGGCGGTGCCGGAAGCGGCGGCGGAGGGGCGCCATGGTGTGCGACAAGTGTGAGTACGGGGCGGAGGGGATCCAGGGCTGCCCGACCGCCTGGGCCTGCCCGAGGGCATCCAGGGCTGCCCTGAGCGGATCCAGGGCTGCCCTGAGCGGATCCAGGGCTGCCCTGAGCGGAGCGGCAGCCGCGGGTCCCGGGCTGCTCAGGGCAGGCCGCGGGGGGCGGTCCCGGCAGGGCCCTGTGTGA